TGGCTAACACGGTGAAACCCCGTCTCTACTAAGAAATACAAAAAACTAGCCGGGCGAGGTGGCGGGCGCCTGTAGTCCCACCTACTCGGGAGGCTGAGGCCGGAGAATGGCGTGAACCCGGGAGGCGGAGCTTGCAGTGAGCTGAGATCCGGCCACTGCACTCCAGCCTGGGTGACAGAGCGAGACTCCGTCTCAAAAAAAAAAAAAAAAAAAAATTATCATCTATTCCAATGAATGACAGCTATGACTGTTAATAGTTATATATTGAGAGAATATTTGCCATTCTGTAATTTCCATTCTTGATTATAACTCTGTTCCCTAGAACCATTGGAACAAGACTTTTCTACGTGGCCTTGTTCAAATATTTGAAGATAGTGATCTTGGCTGTTCTGAGCTTTTTCTTGTTCTATTTCCAAAGATTAACTTAAACATAGAAGATAATTGCAGCCAGTAGGGAGGGCTTTTAAAAAAGAAAGAGAGAAACAGAAAAGGTCTGCAGCCAAGGCTATGCTTTGGTGACATGGGTCTTTGGAGATTTCTGGTAGGTAAGGATGCCTGTAAGTTTAAGGTTAAGGCTTTCTCAGCTGGACTTGGGAGCCTGCAGTAGACATGGTGGGTGGAGGTCACTGTTGGTAAGAATTCTGCCTTCTGCCGCTGGCAGGTGTGGGCCAGAGTCACCCCTAGAGTGTTTCCATGTAGGAACACTCGGGTGTTCCAGACACAAATGCCTTAATATCCAGCATCTTTGCCAGGGAGTCTGCTCCAAGACCCCAACCCTTTTCCTGCTGTGGTCTCAGGCCTTTGGCAAGCTGCCCGTGCTCTTTCCAGCATCCTATTTCTCACCTGGGTTGCCAGCTCCCTGCAGCCTTGGTGGTGTTTGCAGCCTGCTCTCAGTTTTTTTTAATCTTTCTTTAATTGATGTCTAATTAGTAGTTATGAGAAATTGCGCTAGCCAAGCAAATGCTACCTTTCCTAAATTATGCCATGGTATTGTGTACAACAGCAGCAAGGTTGCTATTTTAAAATGGGATTGCATAAAATAAACATGTGCCCAGATGACAGGAAGTACTAAGTTGATGATTAATTGATGCTTTGGTGCGGCCTCGTGCTTTCCAGTGCTTCCATTTTTGTGATGATCCATCTAGTGAGGTTTCAGCAGGTCCACACCACTGATAATTGCCAGATCGCTAATTTGCAGTTCGTCTCCTGCCCTCTGATGCCGGGGCCGGTGGCCATTAGGAGGCAATGCAGAGCAGTCCTCAGTCTCGCTGAAGGTCAGGCTCACCAGAAGGTGATGTGCGGCCTTCGGCTGGCCGGGTCTTCTGCAGCTCGGAGACTGCCTCTACACACTGAGACTCAGGAACGGTGACATTGCTGCGTTATTCCAGGCTCTTGAGACTGGTGCTATTTGTCCTATCATTTTCTTTGTATTGTGGAGGGCTGATACTCAGGGAAAGGGAAAATAACTTAGATTTAGTTTTATTTGTTTTTTTCAAATTAGGAGATGAAGACTTGAGCCTGCTGACACATACCCAAGGCTTGCCCAGATGTGAAATAGGTAGAAGTTTAAGTATGTCTTGAGAGCAGTTGAGAAAAGAGTCCGTGGAAAAATTACTAACTAGGGCTGGTGAGCAGCATCTCAACAGCACAGGGGGTAGGGGTGTGCCATCTCAAAAGCTGCCCGGGTGCTTAGGCCAGAGGACTTCACCCAAATGTGGTGTTGCTTCTGGGGAAGGGGGATGCTGCGGTCTGGACCGCAGCCTGGTGGATTAATAGGAAGCAGCAGAAGCTTGAGCCAGATGTCTTCTGGAACAGTAAGGAGGCAGGACAGTGGCAGAGGCCCCGGACTCAGACCACTCTGCCTCTCAGCAGCTGTGATCTGGGGCAAGGACTTCACCTTTCTGAACCTTAGTTTTCTCATGTGTATTCTCTACCCACCCAATAGCTCCTCCCATGAGGTGTGGGAGATTAAATGGCATCATCATTTATTTAATAAACAAGCGAATGGTGGATGGGGACAAAGCACCTAGCTCAGTGCACAGCGTGTGACCACTCTGGAAAGTGCCAGCACTTCTCCCAAGTGAGTACAGCAGTGGCAGCTCCTTTGTAACTAGGCGTTGCATGGTAGGATGTCCCTGGGGTTGGTCCATTAACCTCCTTTTCTCTCGGGGGAAGGGCCTTGGTGCAATTAACAGCTTTTAAGCCAGGGAATTGATACCTCTTGTTCCAGTGTTCTTGAAGTCTCAAGAAGTCTGGGACCCCAGAAAACAGGCAGGCCAGTTGCTTTTATTTTGCCTGATGGCTGTCTCTCCAGAGGTAACAGTGACAATGACAACCAACACATGGCTCTCTGGAGCCTGACTGACTCCAGGGCTCGGTGCTCTCCACTGTCCACACTTGTTTCTGGTGTCCGGTGGCAGCACCCACGGTGTTTCCTCTGTGCGCCTTCAGCAAGACAGAGTCGCTCAAAGCCAGTCTTCAGAAGGGACCCAGGGTTGCTTTAGCCATGAGGCCCCATGTCAGTTTTCACAGTGACTTCACCATCCTTTAGACAAAGTCCTTGAGATCTTGATGGCTCCCAGTGGACTTCTTTCCCGGGACAGGGCGAATGGACGAAGTAGACAGCTTGGAATCCACTCTGAGCTGAACAGCGCTGCTCTGCCCAGGGTAGGATGGGGAGGGAGTGGGCGTCCATCCTTCCCTTGATATTTTATTCTAACTTACTTGTTTAACTGACTTTTACTACTTTTTTTCTTATATCACACTATACACCAAATAAGTTCCAGAATGATCACAGAATGAAATGATTCTTCAAACTGATAAAAAGAACGAGAAGGAAAAAACAATAGCTGATACAGGAATGGGAAAAACCTATTCTAAGCATAAAAACAAAGGAAGACATAATAAAGAAAATGGTCTTAAAAACCTAAAATTTTTGAATTATATAGTTCAACAAATTCAATAAAATTAGAAGACAGGTAACAAAAAGGAAAAATGTAAACATATATAACGTTGATATAATTACTTAATATTCATAGACTTTCTCAAGTTCAAAGTAAGAATCACTCCAATAGGAAAATTAACAAGAACATGAATAGGATATTCACAAAGTAAGAAATACCTATATCTAGTAATCTGTTAAGCTTTTACTAGTTGTCAAAAAAACATACTTGTGAGTTAATTTTCTTTTCTTTTTTTTTTTTTTTTTTTTTTTTGAGGCAGAGTTTCACTCTTGTTGCCCAGGCTAGCATACAATGTGCAATGGCACAATCTCGGCTCACCACAACCTCCACCTCCTGGGTTCAAGCAATTCTCCTGCCTCAGCCTCCCGAGAAGCTGGGATTAACAGGCATGCGCCACCACACCCTGCTAATTTTGTATTTTTAGTAGAGACAGGGTTTCTCCATGTTGGTTAGGCTAGTCTTGAACTCCTGACCTTAGGCGATCCACCCACCTTGACCTCCCAAAGTGCTGGGATTACAGGTGTGAGCCACCATACCCAGCACGAGTTAATTTTCTAACAGTAAAAACTTGGAAAACCCTGTATCACTTTTCTTTTCTTTTCTTTTCTTTTTTTTTTTTCAAGACACAGTTCCACCTGTTACCCAGGCTGGAGTGCAGTGATATGATCTCAGCCCACTGCAACCTCCACTTCCCAGGTTCAAGCAATTCTCCTACCTCAGCCTCCCGAGTAGCTGAGATTACAGGTGTGCACCACCACTCCCAGCTAATTTTTGTTGTTGTTGTTTTTGGTTTTTTTTTCCTGAGACGGAGATTCACTCAGTCGCCCAGGCTGGAGTGCAGTGGCGCGATCTTGGCTCACTGCAAGCGCCTTCTCCCGGGTTCACGCCATTCTCCTTCCTCATCCTTCCAAGTAGCTGGGAGTACAGGCGCCCGCCACCTCGCCCGGCTAATTTTTTGTATTTTTAGTAGAGACGGGGTTTCACCATGTTAGCTAGGATGGTCTCGATCTCCTGACCTCATGTTCTGCCCACCTCAGCCTCCCAAAGTGCTGGGATTTACAGGCGTGAGCCACCGCGCCTGGCCTGCTAATTTTGTATTTTTAGTAGAGACAGGGTTTCACTATGTTGGCCACACTGGCCTTGAACTCCTGACCTTAAGTGATCCTCCTGCCTCAGCTTCCCAAAGTGCTGGGATTACAGGCATGAGCCACAGCACCCAGCCAACCCTGTATGATTAACAGCACGACTATTCTTACAGTGGTCATATACTTTGGTGTCTTTAAAATCATGTAAAAGAATAAGAACTTGAAGTGATTAGAATAAGTTCACAACACACTTTGTTTTTTTGTTTGTTTTGTTTGGTGTTCGTTTGTTTTGTTTTGTTTTGTTTGAAACGAAGTCTCGCTCTGTCGCCCAGGCTGGAGTGCAGTGGCGCAATCTCTGCTCACTGCAAGCTCCACCTCCTGGATTCACACCATTTTCCTGCCTCAGCCTTCTGAGTAGCGGGGACTACAGGCACCTACCACCACGCCCAGCTAATTTTTTGTATTTTCAGTAGAGACAGGGTTTCACCATGTTAGCCAGGATGGTCTTGGTCTCCTGACCTCGTGATCTGTCCACCTCGGCCTCCCAAAGTGCTGGGATTACAGACGTGAGCCACTGCGCCTGGCCACAACACACTTTGCAAGTGAAAATGATGGTTTAAAATATATATTACCTCTATTTTTTAAATGAAAATGAAAAACTCAGGAGTATACATCAAAATATGAACAGAAGTTATCTTTAACTGCTGTGCTTCTACAGTCTTTCCATTTTTACCAAAGAACAAATACTTTAAAATTTTTAAGTGAAAAAGAAAATGGAGAGCAATGAGTTGAAGCATCTAGAAAAATCAAACAAGAGTGTGCTGAGGCCTGCTCCTCTCTTGTGGTGGGCACCTCATGGACTTTCCCTGGCTTTCTCCTGTCTTCGAGCCCAGCCCTCCTCATTCTCTGCTCTCCAGTTCCTACTCCTAAGACCCTGCCTGTTTCTCCTCAGGACTGAGCACGGAAGGCATCTACCGGGTCAGCGGGAACAAGTCAGAGATGGAGAGTCTGCAGAGACAGTTTGATCAAGGTAAGGCGCAGCCTGGCCAGGCGTCCGAGGCCAGAGCTGGTCATGGCAAACACAACTGCCTTGGTGAACTGTCTGTGGGACCTCGGGGCACTCCTGCCAGCACAGACCCAAAGTCACAAGGTGCTGAAACTGAGAAACAGACCATGTATGGCCGCAGTGGGGAGGAGTGGACTGGGTCCTGTCAGTGAACCTTCCCTGCCAAAGCTGGGTTATGTAGGCCACTCCTCACACCGCCACTCACAGATGCTCTTCCAGGTCACCCAGGCACACGCCTCCCTCACCACACTGAAGAGTTTTGCCTGTTTGGCCATGCAGAGCTAGTTGCAGGCACATGATATACAAGTCGAGTTGAGATGTGATCCTGTTTTGCCAGGGCCTCAGATCTATCCTCCTCACAGTCCCAGCACCAGAGAAAGCGAGGGACCATCGTGTGAGGAGCTGAGCCCTTGGGACACAGACCCAAGTTACATAGTTCTTGGCAGGGACTCTCTTCTCCTAAGCCAAGCCAGCTTCAAGAGGCCTAAAGTCAGGCAACCAAACTCTACCTCTTGGAATTGACCACACGGTGGGATGAGAAGCCACGTCCCCCAGTGCCAGCAGCAAAAGCACTGGAGCAGGGCACATTCCCATCTGTCAGCAGCCAGGGCAGGAGGCACCACCCAGAGCAGACACCACACCCACTCCCCAGGTGGGCAGCCCTTGCACCTTGCAGCACCGCAGTTGGGCTCAGCTGGCCGCAGCGGGCAGAGGGCACCACACGAGAGGGAGACGCCTGCTAATCTGTGGGTTAGGAGACACGAGGCCAAAGTGAGGGGAGAACCCCCGATGTGGGATGCGTTTGTATATATGGGAGATCCTGTACCAGCTTACCTCCCCCACAATGGAACGTGGTGCTGTCCATCCGTGGAGATTTCTTCGTTATCAGGAGTCCACTGAAGTATGTATGCAACAAGAAGGAAAGTAAGAGATGGGTCAGTGGTGTGGTGGCTGGGAAGGGCCAGAGAGAGAATAAATGAGCCTATTTGCCCTCCCACCATAGGGGACAAGGATGGAGGCGGCAGTCACAGTGGTTGCTAACATCTCTGTGACCTACCTGGAAAGTGAGCCACCCTTAAGGAAAGCTGCCTCCTTCTTCTGTGATGGGAAAGGAGTAAGGAAGAGGTAACGGCATATCAAAGCCAGATGAGGGCAAGCTCCCGGCACTGAAAACCAGCATCCCTGCCCTGATGCTGGTAGAGGAGGCAGTTCAGCGGTCTCAGAAAGAGGTGCTGGGGCCAACCCATGCCTGAACCTCAGAACTCGAGTTAGCACTCCCACAGGTCTCACCCCTCCAATCCGTGTCAGTCCTGAGGCCGTCCCTGGCTCCTTAAGGTTTCTCTAGCCTCTCCTGAGCCCCAAGTTGTCCTGATGCTTCTGCCTGGCTTGGAATGGTTTGGCCTCACTCTCCTGACTTCCTTTCAGACCATAACCTGGACCTGGCAGAGAAAGACTTTACGGTGAATACCGTGGCCGGTGCCATGAAGAGCTTTTTCTCAGAACTGCCTGACCCCCTGGTCCCGTACAACATGCAGATCGACTTGGTGGAGGCACACAGTGAGTACCGGCAGCCCAGTGTTGGGTGGATTGAGGGAGAAAGGGCTCAGCACTGGAAGAATAGGTCCTGCCCTCAGAATGGACGCTGGCTCTTAGAGCTAATGTTTGAAGGACAGCAGGCAAGGGAATTAACCAGATGACAACAATGGGACTTGCAAATCGGGCTCTTGCCCTTGTAGACCTTAGGTGCTTATCTGGGGGTGGCACCAAGAGAGTTGCAGGTTTCCCTCATACTCTCATTAGTTAAGGGCATGATTTCAGTGTCAGACTTGGCTCCTTTGCTTGCGGCCAACTTAACCTTCTCTGCCCCTTAGTGTCCTGCTGTTGTTACCATCCCTACTCCTGCAGATGAAATTCGGTTCGGAAAGGCCTAGAAGTGAGGCTGTGAACAGCCTATTTAATAGTAGTTCTTATTTTCCTTTCCCCTCTTCTTACCTGTCTTCTCCCACCTCTCATGTAATGAAGTTAACGTGTGTCTAGGGTCCTACAGCCTCTTAGGAAGCCGGCCTCTGGAGGGAAAGAGACAACTCCAGTGGCCAAGTGATCATTTGATGCTGTAGCAAATGAGCGCCTCTGGTTTTAGTGGTATCCTGTGTGCCGTGCCACCTTGCCTCATCAGCTGTTCCTGCCCCAGCCTGCCTCTCTCTAGAGGTGTTTGTCCAGATGGGCAAGACTTCTCACTGGCCAGCCTCTCCCTGGACTTGGTGTAGTACCACAGAGGATGCCTGGCCTCTCAGAGCGTCCCACCATGTGGCCCTCACTACCTTTTAAGTCATCAGCAGCCTTCCTGCTTTGTGCCTCTGGCAGGCCAAGACCCAGCAGCAGCCCTTGCCGTGCAGCTGCAGAAGGGAGTGTCTCTGCCAGCTGCCCAGAGATGACAGCCACCCCGTGATCCAGCGACCAGAGGGTGGGGAAGAGGAAAGGAGATGTGTTCCTCAGGGGCAGGACATTGGTCTCATCATGCCACTGCCCAACTCTAAAGAGGGAGCTTTAAACAAGCCTCATATACTCACAAGGCTGATGTGTAGGCAGAAATTTGAGGGAGGTGATGGATCAGCGTGACCCCGAGTCCTGGGTCACTGACTCTAAGTAGCATCTAAGGGAGACAGGTGTGGAGGAAGCCCACCCCTGAACTGTCAGAGCCACAATAGTGACAGGGCTACGGGACCTCCAAGGTCACCCTTCCAGGGTCTGCACTTCCTGTGGTGTCTGTTTTCACAGTCTGGATGCCACTTTCACCTTATTCTGTCCACACTCTCTTAGCTGACTGGAATTGTTCACAGCGCCTGACCTAGCTAAGCCCACAGGGATGGGGCAGGAAAGCATGGTACTCCTGGGACGGTCATAGAGTAGCCTGCCTTCTGAAGACGGGAGTCAGGGTTTCTCCAGAGCAGTTATTGCTGGCTTCTCCCCTGATCCTGCTGTCAGAAGATAGAGGCTTTCCCAGCAGTCACTTCTCCAGGAGGCTCCAGGCAGGCACAGATGTGAAGTCACATGGGAAATCTCTATTCTGGAGCCAGCTTTCTTTCCACGGAAGCTTGTCTCACAGTGGAAGTTAGGAAAAGAGGAAGGCATGGACTGACACCCAGTTTGCTGGAAGCCGGGAATTCCTGTCTGCATTTGTCTTGACTTGGCGCCATCTAGAGGTGCGTGGAATCCTGCCACCCGGCAGAACCCCATTGTTTCTGCGGGAGCTGCTGACACAGCATCTTTTTGTGTAGGGTTGGGGGGCCGGCAGGAACGGGAGGTGCTATTGATAGGGAATCAGCTGCCCTTCCCACAGCAGCTTCCACTGCTCAGGAGGTGGCTTCTTGCGGCCGCTACTGTAGCAGCCTGGGAAAGGGTGGAGGTTTCCCACTTCCTCTTCCCATTGTGTGTTTCCTGTCCTCCACGGTACTTAGCGGGGGCTCCGTTGTCTTGAACCTGACTGAAGGGGGTGGGAGAGGAGAAGATCTTGCTGACAATGGCACCTCTCTGGGCCAGAGAAGCTGACTGAAAAGCTAGGCTGTGGATGTTGCAGGGCCAGGTTCAACTGAGCCACAGATACCAGGCAGTGTAAAAGTTAGTAGTGTTAAGGGATATTATGGAAAAAATATGATCATGCCCCAAAGTAGCTCTTCCCAGACTGGCTGGGGTTTCCATGGCTACATCAACTTGACCAGCTCTTTCTACTTAATCCCTGAGAGCAATTGTGTCTCTATATGTTCAGGCCTTGGAACCAGTTTCAAATCCCATCACAACAAGTATCAAGGTCACTAGCAAATGGTTTTGTTAGCTCCAGAATTTCACAGTATTGAACACTGCTGAAAATGTACCCGCAAAATAGAGACGTTTGTGATTATTTGCCAGTTATTTTCCTACCACACTCAAGGTGATGCGTGGGAGATTCAGAAATGAACAGCAGCAGCAACCGCACCGCCCATGGCCTGGGTGCCTGCCTAGGCTTGGCCCTGCTCTCCACGAGGCATTTGATTCCCACCACTGATCTTCCTTTGAGGAAGATGGTATTATAATACATCTCCATTTTGCAGAGGAGGAAACAGCTTCTCAGAGGTGATACAGCCTGCCCAGGGTCACACCGCTAGGGAGCAACAAGCTGGGGCTGGAGTCCCTGCCTCCATGGGTGCAAGTGAAGTTCTCTGAAGACAGAGCAAAGCTGAGCTTGAAGTGCACAAACCCCAGCGGGGAAGGCGCGAGGAAGAGGGCTTCACAGGGGAGATGGGCCAGGGTTTCAGGAGGCAGAGGAAGAGGCTTGCGCTGCCTGTCTTGTCTCCTCCCTGTAGCCCACCCCCGCCTCCAGGAGTCACTCTTGCCTGGTGTCTCCCCTGTCTCTGGTGACTCCCTCCTCCCTGCCTATCTTGAGTCGACTCCATCCAGCCGGTGTCCACAGGCCCTGCCCTATGGCTTTTGTGCTGGAAGGAGTGCTAGAGCTGGCTCCATCTCAAGCCAGACGGTCTGGACCAAAGGACCTGTGGCTTCAGGGTCCCCATTAACTCCCTGTAATAGCTCGTAAAATTCAGTCTTTTTAATTTAAGGAGAGACCAGTCGTTTTTTGTCAGATTGTTGAAGGGGATGTGTGACCCAAACATGGTTCAGGATGCCGGCTCATTGTCTCGGCCTTGCCTCTTGACAGATGAGACCGCTGGGGCTAGAGATAACAGTGCAGCCTAGGTTACCAGGAGGCGGCCCTGCTGCTTTCTGGGCTCTTGTTCACCAGCTGCCTTGGGACGTTGCTGGTTCTGGGATCCTGCCTTCCTTTGATCTGTCCAGATAGCTGCCCGAGGGCACGGGGGTGCTCCTCACACCCACGCACGGGGGTCATTAATTTCACAGATAGCCAGGCCCTGTGTGGACAGAGACAGATGGCAGTGGGCACACACATATGTGGCCCCCAGCTCAGTCTGGTGGGACAGGACATTCAACAGGTGATTGCAAAGCCATGTCTCCAGGGGAAGGACAGCCTGGATTCCCCATCCTGGGCCCTGTAGAGTGAAGTCTTGACCTTGGAGTTGTTTACCACCTGGGACGGGGAGAGCGGACGCCGGACGAGCCTGCATGATCACTGAAGGACTGTGACCCTGAGCTGGGCTTTCCCTTTCCTGGCGATGCAGGCGTGCAGATGGTCAGCGGCGGCCAGCAGGGACTTTCCTCCAGGCACTGAGCTAGCAGCAGCAGACCCAAGCCTAGAGCTTGGTTGGCAGCCTGGGTGCCAGTGATGGCAGTGGCGCAGCACAGCCAGGGCAGGAGTGTTCTTTGGGAACAGGGTCTCTGCTGCCAATTTGTTTGACCTTGGACCAGTATTCTGGCTTTGTGAGTCCTGGTGTGTCTGTGCTGTAAGAGGTATGGGAAGCTATTCAGTAAGGTCCCTGTGCCCTCTGGCTGTCCCCTCCCCTTCCTCCTGAGTTCTTGGGGTCTCTATTTTATTAAATTGCTGGGTCTGTGTCCAGGCTGTCTTGGTTCAACTGGCCCAAAAATTCGTCCCCTGGACGTTTCTTGCTGTCTCAGGCGACTAGTCCCTAAGTTCAAAAGTATGATGTCCCATCAAGAGGTGCAGCTCCCAGCCCACACCCCCTGAGCAAGAGCAGAGCCACTTGGAGCCGAGCCAAGCGAAGGGGTGAGCGTGGTGTAGAGGCTGGGGTCTCCTCCATAGGCCACCATCTCTCCCGGCCCACACCCCTGGACTCCTGTCTACCACTGACCAACACTGGAGCAGGATGGGTTCTTCTTGTTGTTGTTAGAAAAAACTAAGTGTCTTGACTTCCAAAGGGTAGGCTGAGGGAGTAAAGGATGTGAGGATTGGGCCCTCCACAGTCTGGGTCCTGAGGGGACTCTGAAGGGGTTGGAGGTCATACCAAAAGTCTGGACGAGTGGACCTGAGAGTCCACAAATCAGCACTCGCCAGGTGTGGGGAGAAGCCACTCTGGGCACCTGTACCATGGCGGGTCCTGGTTGCAGCAGCTCACCCAGGGCTGGGTGCCCTGACGGCCCTGTCCCAGCAGGGACCCCAGGGAGCCTATTGCCCCTGCTGTTTCTTTGGCCAGTGTAGACACCTGGCCGGGCAGGCCGGCCCACCTGTTGAAGCTGCGGGTCCCTGTAGAGCAAGGTTCCACTGAAGATGGTGAGTGGCTCCCCTGAGTGTGCCGCTGCCCTGTGACCAGGTCCACACAGACTGTGGCCCCAGCCTGCAGCAGCACCATGGGGCAGAAGGTGTCCGGGGTGCACGGGCTGGGCTGGCTCTTGGCCACCAGCTTGTTCCCAGGCCTCTGACTTGGAGCTGCCAGAGTCTGTGCTTGACCACACCCAGGCCCAGGTTGGAGCCGGACAGCGCAGTCAGCACTGTGCTCAGCAAGTAGCAGCCAGCCAGAGGCGCCTGAACTCACCAGGGATGAGGATGGTGGTCACGAGGGGAGACTGGGGCCGGGCCAGGAAGGCCTCGAGGAGCCAGCCCAAAGCTCCTGGACTAGAGAGGGACCCTCTGGGTCCTTTCCCCTCTTTCCACTAGACCGTAAGCGACAGGGAATTTGGTTTTTGTTCCCTACTGCATCCCCAGCGTATAAAATAGTACCCAGGCAGGAGCAGGCCCCTGTAAACACCTGCTTCTCCCACACACTGAGGATAAACAAATGACCCAAGCAAGAGGGGCCTCCCAAATCCGAGAATGAAATAATTCGCATTGTCTGGCGAGGCAAGAATGGGTGCTGTCACCGACAGCCTCACCCATCCCCATGTACTCAGCCTAGTCCCTCTCATGCTCACCTGCCTCTGGGTCAGAGTCGCCACCTCCCTCGCTGAGGACTGTTGAGGGACCTGTGCCTGGTTCTGACCAAGGCAGCTGAAAATGCCACACAGGGCACAGACACTGCTGGTGTCCCCCCAGTCCTGGGTCAGGGGAGAGTGGGTATAGGAAAAACATACGAAGCCGGGTGCGGTGGCTCATACCTGTAATCCCAGCACTTTGGGAGGCCAAGGCGGGCGGATCTGGAGGTCAGGAGTTCGAGACCAGCCTGACCAACATGGTGAAACCTCATCTCTACTAAAAATACAAAAATTAGCTGGACCTGTAATCCCAGCTACTCAGGAGGCTGAGGCAAGAGAATTGCTTAAACCTGGGAGGGGTTCTCTACTAAAAATACAAAAATTAACCATGCCTGTAATTCCAGCTACTCAGGAGGCTGAGGCAGGAGAATCGCTTGAACCCGGGAGGTGGAGGTTGCAGTGAGCCGAGATCGCGCCACTGCACTCCAGCTGGGCAATACAGCGAGACTGCATCTCAAAAAAAAAAAAAAAAAAAAAGTGTCCTAGCTGGTGAAGCCAGCACCCTGGAGGGCGCCCCATCCCCTTTCCTGTCAGAGGATTACTGCAGTCAGAGAGGACTCTGCTGCCTGCAGGGAGGCGAGGACCCAGAGCAGATGGGCTGAGCTGGAAACAGGCCTAGGTCCCATCCACCTGCGACATCACCAGCCTTGTGACCTTCTCTTGGCCTCTGGAGTGGGTTTCTCAGCCACCATATGGGTAACACCCAGCCCCACCTTCCACTCAGGTCTGCGGTCAGGGCCACGCGAAGAGCACTGTGAAGCTGTCCTGCCAGCACTCGGGCAGCACCCAAACCTAAGCAGCTGCTGGTGCCTTTGCCATGTGAAGAGGCTGCAGCTGGAGCCTAGAGGGGTGAGGCAAGCTTTGCTTAAGGAAAGAGGTGAATGGGGCTGAGTCAAAGGATGTTGACAAGGTCAGCCTTGCTTTTAGTGTGGCCCAGACTTGAGCAGAAGGGCCTCTCGCCTTCCTTGACCTCTGCCCAGCGAGCTCCTAGTGCTGCTCCGTACTCAGGAGCACCTGGACCAGGCAGCCAGTGGGGAGGGGAGCAGGCCAGGAGACTGGCCACCCACTCCTCACTAGGCATTCAGCTGAGGTGCATATGCAGAAGGAGGCTGGGATTTTAGGGGGCAGACCCTAATTTTTTTTTTTTTCTTTTTGAGATGGAGTCTTGCTCTGTCACCCAGGCTGGAGCACAGTGACGCAATCTCAGCTCACTGCAACCTCCACCTCCCAAGTTCAAGCAATCCTTCTGCCTCAGCCTCCCAAATAGCTGGGATTATAGGCACACGCCACCACACCTGGCTAATTTTTGTATTTTTGGTAGAGATGGGGTTTTGCCATGTTGTCCAGGCTGGTCTCAAACCCCTGACTTCAAGTGATCCACCCATCTCAGCCTCCCAAAGTGCTGGGATTACAGGCGTGAGCCACCACACCCACCCGGCCCCTAAATTATTATCAAAGCAGGCTCTGTAACTCCCACCCCTGCCCCTCCCCACCCCCCAAGGAAGAAACAAAACCACCCTCATTGCTGCTTATCAGATAGGAAGGAGAGCAGGCGTCCCTGGCAGACCTAGGCTTTGCCAGCCCCGTTTCCTGCCTCCAGCCAGAGGATGGGATGAGACCCAGCTCTTACGTAAAGGTGCTACCACTCATTGCCTAATTAAGACAAACACAGCTGTGTTTGGGTCGTGCAGGCACCTGCGGAGAGACCTGTGTCCTCCTGTGCCAAGCTAGCAGCTGGAAGGGGGCATGACGCTTTTATGAAGTGAAGCTTCGCGCCACACACATGCTGCTTGTGTTTTCTAATACAGTCTTCTGTCCTCCCTACAGCAGTTTACCTTTTTTATGTAGATATTGTATTGTAACATGACAATGAACTGGTTGAAGACTCAAGGTCGTGGAAAAGAGTGTGCCCATGGCCGGGTGCGGTGGCTCACGCCTGTAATCCCAGCATTTTGGGAGGCCAAGGCAGGTAGATCACCTGAGGTCAGGAGTTCCAGACCAGCCTGGACAACATGAGGAAACCCCGTCTCTAGTAAAAATATAAAAATTAGCCAGGCGTGGTGGCAGGCACCTGTAGTCCCAGCTACTTGGGAGGCTGAGGCAGGAGAATCGCTTGAACCCAGAAGGTGGAGGTTGCAGTGAGCTGAGATCGCGCCACTGCACTCCAGCCTGGGGGACAGAGCAAGACTCCATCTCAAAAAAGAAAAAAAGAAAAAGAAAAGAATGTGCCCTTGAGGTAGAACCCTTAAAATAAACCTTGGATTCAGAGAAATGAAGCTGCTCATAGCCCAATAACTAGCTCCCAGGACTTTTTTAGTCATTTCTGATAGACAGATGTTACCAAGACACTGCTCTCATGAAGTTACACTCTCAAGGCCACAGATTTGCCTGGTTTCATTCATCCTCATTAGGCTGCCCGGGAGAGCTCCTGGAGCTCTGTCCCTTCCAGCCCTGCAGCCTCCCTCCCCCTGGCCCCTGCAAGTAGACTGGCTCTCAGGTGCCCTTATTTTGTGTCCAGCTGTGAACTCTGAATTTAACTGCCGGGTGTCACCAAATGAAGGAGGCACTGTCCACAGCCCCTTTTACAGATGAGGAGACTGACCCTACGGTGTCACTTGCCCAAGGTGACACAGTTGGCACGAGAGGCTGGATTTGTACCCAGGGCCATCTGAGTCAGGATCTGGACTGCAGACCACCACAGGACCTTCCTCCCTGCTCAGCGTTCCCGCCCTTGGGATTCTGTCTGCTTTTCCAAGTCTCACTCTCCCCAGGGTCCTTGTGCAACTCCCCCAACTCTGACCCTCCGGGCATATCACCTGCTGCAAAGGTGACTAGGAAGCCATGGGTTTCCTAAAGAATACCTGGTTCAGGGCCGGGCGCGGTGGCTCACACCTGTAATACCAGCACTTTGGGAGGCCGAGGTGGGTGGATCACGAGGTCAGGAGATCGAGACCATCCTGGCTAACACAGTGAAACCCCATCTCTACTAAAAATACAAAAAATTAGCCAGGTGTGGTGGCGAGCGCCTGTAGTCCCAGCTACTCGGGAGGCTGAGGCAGGAGAATGGCGTGAACTCAGGAGGTGGAGCTTGCAGTGAGCCGAGATGGCGCCACTGCACTCCAGCCTGGGTAACAGAGCGAGACACCGTCTCAAAAAGAAAAAGAAAAGAATACCTGGTTCAGGGAGTCCGCACCCCTCCCGGATTCATCAGCAGAATGGTACACATGTGTCTCCGGGGCAGACGATCCGGCACCGTCGTCTATCTCAAAGGAGCCTGAACCCCCAAGCCCATTAGCAACCGTCGGTGTTATAATAGACCCCCTCTTCACCAACCCCACCCACAGCCACCAATTGTGAGATAGCTGCCATCTCCTTCGTGAGACCCTCCCGTGGTTCTTCTGTGCCCTGGAGTCCGAGAAGGAAATATGGGGACGTCTTTCCCTGCACAGAGAAATCTGTCTCAGCCAGCTGGGCTCCAGGTGGGCTCTGGGACATGTGTGCCTCACCAGCCCGGGATGCCCTTCCCAGCCAAGGTGGGCCACACCCACTCAGGGATGGCAAGCCCAGTGGCCACGGCTCCAGCCCCACAGCCAGTCCCAGCTCTGCAACTTCTAACCTCAGATACCTCATCCTCAAAATGGGGTGACAAGTTCCTGCCTCACACGATTGCAGGGACTCATGGAACTGGGCCTGGCGCGGGTTACGAGCTGCATTCCAGGCAGTTGTTTTCCCTCCCCTAGGACATTGGGATTCCGTGATAGGCAAAGTGTGGGCATTGGGGGGAAAGGGGGTGCACAGTTCCTTTGGTGAAGTGCGTAAGAATTCCCCCACTGTTTCCATCAGCCCCTCCAATGGGGATGTGCGGAGGGTCCCTGTGTCTCTAGGGAAAGGACAGAGCCTTGGTCTCATGACCGACTCCCTCCCTCAAAGGTCTGTTGGCGTGGGTGGGTGGCAGCGGCTGCCTGTCTCCATCTGGTCAGGAAGCAAGCAGGCTTTCTGCGTAGGGATGCCTGTCTCCAGGGGCAACCGGATGAGCAAAGAATGGTGTTCTTTATGGCGTAGTCTCTCCAGATCGTTCTGTCTCGGGTGGTGGGGCCAGGAAGCCCCAGGCACACAGTGCCGCCCTTCAGTGGGGGCCTGGGACACAGAGGTGGGCCAGGCCCCTGGGCCAGTGCCACTGCCAGGTGTGCCAGCCTTGGGCACAGGCTTTAGGGGAAAGAGTGGAGTTAGTGTCATCCGAAAGCCCTGGGCTGCCCTCAGAGAAGGCCCATCACAGAGCACGCCCTGGGGTGGCCACCAGCCTCGGCCATGAAAGGCAAGGCTTTGGTTTTCTCTCTCCTCAGAAATCAACGACCGGGAGCAGAAGTTGCATGCCCTTAAGGAGGTATTAAAGAAATTTCCAAAGGAAAACCACGAAGTCTTCAAGTATGTCATCTCTCACTTAAACAAGTAAGTCGCAGGGCCTTCTGGTTGGTTTTTCCTCCAGAAAATTGACAGCCAGGGTCAGTGTGTCGCAGAACAAGGCTGCCAGTAGCAGCCTCAGGCCCTGGCCTGGAAGGGGCGCTGGCCGGCCTCCCGTGGTGCCCACTGGGCTCAGCGCCTGGAGCCTCTGCCTCTCGCCCATCCTAAGGCCTCCCTCCTGCTCCTATCTGAGGGCGGCCACGTGGCCCCAAACCTGCCCAACACCAGACAGTACACTTAGCTCTATCGGGCATGGGGCCTCTTGTAGGCCTGCGCCCCAAAGCTGGCAGAGAGAGAAGATCTTCTGGTTGGTGCTGATGTTCCAGAAATCTTCTCCTGAATCCAAAACACCTCAGAGCCCCTGAAAGTCCTCTCTCAGCATTCACATTCCCAGCTGGGGAGAACCGGGACATCGCACCTCGAGAGGTGTGCTGCAGGAGAGAGCCAGCCTCCAGCATGGAGCACAGGCTGCAGGCGGGAGGCCATGTGGCTCTTCCCTGAACTTCCGTGTGTGTGGAGGAGGGCTGCTGGCCAAGTGGCATCTCATGGCACTCTGGTTTAGGACGCTCAGCCTCCCTCCCTCATCACAGCTGGAGCACCGCCACTGCTTTGGCTGGCTGCAGAGCTAGTCCCTGAGGTGGTCAGTCCACCCCCAGGGGTTTTCAGGGCTCCAGGCAGCCTCTTCAAGGTTGGCCATGTGGAGGCGCTGGGCTGGAGGGGAGAGGACACTGAGGGCACAGCCTCCCGGGCAGGGCAGGGCAGGGCACAGAGAGCTGCGCGTGGCCTTTTCTGCTCCGCCTGAGGATGTGCAGGCGGGGCTCAGCCTGCGTGCTGAAGACCATGAGCGCCCAGGGCCAGGCAGGGCCCTGCACAGTTCTGACCATTGAGTTTGGTGTCGCCCGCAGGGTCAGCCACAACAACAAGGTGAATCTCATGACCAGCGAGAACCTCTCCATCTGCTTCTGGCCCACCTTGATGAGACCTGATTTCAGCACCATGGACGCCCTCACAGCCACGCGCACCTACCAGACAATCATTGAACTCTTCATTCAGCAGTGCCCCTTCTTCTTCTACAATCGGCCCATCACCGAGCCCCCTGGTGCCAGGCCCAGCTCCCCCTCCGCCGTGGCTTCCACCGTCCCCTTCCTCACTTCCACGCCTGTCACAAGTCAGCCGTCGCCCCCACAGTCGCCTCCTCCCACCCCCCAGTCCCCAATGCAGCCACTGCTTCCCTCCCAGCTTCAAGCCGAACACACGCTGTGACCCACCAAGACCTGGGGCGACAGGAGAACCGGTCCTCTCTCTGACGGGGTGGCATTTGGCCTTGAACAAAACCAAGTCCACTGGGGGCAGAGGCAGGGGCAAGTGGCCCTCTTCATCATGTTCTCAAGACCTCAGTGGGAGCACCAGCCAATGGTACCATCCGCCAGGCTGCCAGGTGCCCTGGGCCCGGCACTGCAGACCTGAGCTGGCTGCAGGCAGCAGCCATGGGGCCCTGTCCTTTGACTTGGACCCCTTTGAGGACTGAACTAGGCAGGCAGCAGCCCCAGTGCCCTCCCTCTGTTCTCTGGACCACCACCCCACCTGGCTGCGCACACCAGCCTCCAGGTGCCTCCCTCTGCTTGTACAGGGCCCGTGGTCGGGACAGTGCCCAGGCCTTTGCCGGGGAGGAGGAGGCTCTGAGATCCATGGCGGGGCTGGCAACCCCCGAAGAGAACACTTCCCGCTGGTCTGTCTCTTCCCACCTTCTGTCTGCACACACCCGCAAGGTAAGGGTGCAGCCCGGCTGGTGGCTCCTTGGGAACGTGTAGGCCACGGCTCTGCCACCACTAGGTACCTGCTGAGGGCGCTGGCCCTGCAGATCAGAACAACGGAGGATAGCTTTGTGCCTGGACCCAGAGAGTGCAGGACTTCCCTCTTCATCCCTGCCGTCCCACTCCACAGGCTTCCCGAAACATTCCCTGGCAAACAAAGGAACACTAGGAGAAAAAATGGAAAAACCCTTCCAATAATTAAAAAGGAAAAAAACACGGAAAGAAAACTACAGACCTCAAGATTTCACTCTGTGCCCACCTCTGCCGGGAGGGAGGGAGGCACACAGGTGGAATTGACCCTCGTCTTTGTGGCAGCAAAACCAGGATGCCTGGAGCTGTGGCCCGAGAGCCTCCTGGGGTCCCCCTCACCCACTTAGGTCTAGTCGCCAGATTCCCCGTTTTCCCAAGAAGAGGGTTTGAGCCCTTGGTGGAGAGAGCCCGGGAGATGGCAGAGCAGGCTGGAACCTGGGCTGCCCCAGAACACAGTCCATTACGATAGAAACACTACTTGAGCGTATGTGTGGGGTGTGTGTGTGTGCACGTGTGAGTGTGTGTGTGGGCACTTGGTGGGGAGTTGGGGACTGCTGGAAGGTGCCAGGTGCACTTGGGGTTGGGGTTGGTGTATTGGGTGTTGAAGTGGAATCGTTTCATCCCAGCCATGGAGGCCACCGGCAGGAGTGTTCGTGGGGATGTGGGTGGGGTGGGGCACTTTGAAGGAATGGCGGTCTGCTGGTGCCCTCGAAGGGGCATCCTTCCTGGTCCTTGCTGTCCCAGAGGCGCCGTGCCTGCCTATCACCCACCACCACCCTAGCCCAGCCTTTCCACTGCTCCAGGAAAAGCTCTTCTCCTGCCCACCTCTGCCCTCCAGCACTGCAAACTTGCGTGGCTGGGCCGTGGCCTCTGCAGCCAGGAAGACTGGGCACCCCCCAGGCGAGAGCTAGTGGGGTGCAGAGGGCCCCACACCAGACAGCCCTTGGGGCTCGTTGCACTTTAAGAAATAGGATCTGTGGTATATTCCAGGGGGCCTGATGGACACCTCCTGGGCTTCTGCAGCTGCCCCGCCCATGCCCACCTGTAGTGGTTGGAGACAGGAGTGGCCCTTCGTCTCCCAGGCTCCCTCTGGGGACGGCTGGCTCACTGTCTCCAGTTCACAATGGCCAACGAAGGTGCTTGGAAACACTCACGTACCCTTGCAAGTTTTAATGGGAGAAAAACCCAGGGTCCAGGCGTGTTCTCTGTGAATGTTGGATGATGAATTTTTGTCTTTTCTGGCGGAGCTGTGCCTGGCCCTGTAGGCCCAGGGTTGACTGGAAGGTGACATCTGTGTTTTGTTTTAGCTGAGGTTGGCAGTTAGGTTCCCAAACTCCCCCAGTCCTGGGCCCCAGCAGATGAGGAAACGGCCGCATTGACTCACCCCGGCCCCTTTTCAAGGTCTTGCTCACCTGGTCAGCACCTCACGGAATTGGGAGTGGAGGGAAAGCATGGTGGTGGCCTGGGCCATCCCTGTATGAACGCAGGCAAAAGCAGCCCAGTCCCCCTCACTGCTTGAGCTAACACTGCCACCTGTTTTGTGAGCACGAAAGCCACGGCCTAAGCCACCTGGCCCCTGATTCCACAGATGTGTGTGCGGCCAGTGACTTCCCCGGAGTGTGGAGGGGGCGGTGAGGAGGAGCACCTGGGCTTTCTACCCCTCCCCTCACAGAAGTACCTGAAACTAGGCCTGGGGCACCCCCAACGCAGCGCCCCGTCAGCCAAGGTGGGCAGGCAGGGACTGTGGCAGCTCATGTCCGAAGGGAGCCCCCATGCACAGGAAGCCCCGGGGTTCCTCTTGTTTCCCCCACTAACTCTTCAGCCTCTCGTCTGCTGCTTCGGGCTGAGGGACTAGAGGACATCTCAGTCGTTTGAGCAGCATGGCCAGTCGTGGCAGGCCAGGCTTCAGCATCCGATCAGGGCAGCGTGCAGACTGAATAGGCCCTTGTGTGGGAGCATCCCTGGGGATTGTTGGAACCGTGCTGTCCCCACCCCTGCTTTCATCGGGGCTCTTAGTTCTGGAAGGTGCTTGCACAGAGGGTGCTCATGGGACCCGCATGCAGCTCTCAGCACTGGGCGGGTGGGCGTTGGCTTGTCCAGAATGGGGACGTGGGGCAGCCACTGCCACCCAGCGAGAGTACAGACACCGTGTGAGGGAACAGCAGCCCTTGGTGCAAAGCCAGAGACTGATCCTGGCTCTGACGGCTGAGGAGGGAGGACCCGAGGCTGGGTGGCGTGGCTTGTGAATCCACTTAGAATTCTTGGCTTGTGTCGCACACTGGGTGTCACGGCACACATTTACTCTGCATTGTCCCTGTCTCTCCTGTCGCCTAGCATTTGGGGAGGAAGAGGGAGAGAGCTTCAGGGTGTCTGTCTCCTTGCTCTCCTGCCTCTACCGCCTTGGTTTTGCTTCCTGCTGGAGGCGCGGCACCTGCTGCGACCCAGATTCTTCTGCAGGATATGTCTGTCTTTGTCACGGTGGACAGAGGGTGACATCATAGGAGCAGCTTGCTGGCCAGAAGGGGATGGGGCATCCCTGTGCCTCAGTCAGCTTCTGCTGCTCTTAGGGAAGGGAGGCCTGGGTCAAGCCAGCATCCCTTTGGTTAAGACCCCCGCAGGCCACCAGGCATTCTGGACATACACACACACAACTCCACAGCAGGCCAGCTGCAGCGTCTTGTCATCAAGAGTCACCTCAGCTGCGCTCCCCTCCCGTCCTTTCCTATGAGAAGCCACTGCTTTGGGGGCGCCAGCTAGAAAAATTAGGGTGAGGTGGCCAGGAGGGCCCCTGCCGTGCGGGGGCCTGGGTCCTGTTGAGGCGCTGATTTCCCGAAGGCAGCGCAGGGATCCAGGGAAGCTGCGGCAGGGAGCGGCCCCGGCTCCGTGGCTCTGAGGTGTAACGGGGGTGGGCGCCCTCCCTCGGAGCACGTGGTCTTGTGTCCAGGTCAGAGAGTGGCCCAGGAAGCGGGCAGTTTCTGTCGCGGGTCCGGTGGGGGCGCGGCCGCGGTGCGGTCGGTGCAGCGTGGCCAATGCACGGCGCGCGGGGGGCAGAGCAGGAGGCGATCGGTGACCTCGGGCACTGCTGGCCTGGGCTGGCCTCCTCCAGCCCTCCGGTGGCGGAGACGGCAGTGATGCTACACTTCACTGTAGTCACGACAGGGCCTAAGTTATTGTTTGCATAAAAAGAATCATGTTCCCTGTGTACATTTAAGAAAAAAAAAAAAAACGGAAATGTCAGAATTGTATGGAAATAAAACTTGTTTGAAAATTTGGAATAGTGCTGCTGCCAGCTTATTTTTCTGGTACTTGTATTTTCACATGTTAAATGATCTTTATATATGTTGAATTAACAAATATTTTGAGTTTCTGAGAAAAACAAAACATATTAATGGTATTGAAATGTGTTAGTAGTCTGGCTGTATGCCCAAAATTCTGTTTTGCAGCAAAAGTGAAGACTTGTATGTAAAGAAAGTATAACAATTATTTCTTTGTATTTTAGGGGCTTTAACCGGAACATCCTTTAGCTGGTGTTAGGAATGTTTGCTTAATTTCCAGACTTTTTTTAAAAAACACATCGTGGGTTTTTTGAGGCTCCAACCTAATTAGTGCATGGTCAGCCCTCAATGAAGGCTGAGGCATCTCTGACTGAGGTGTTTTTGTTTGGTTTTGTTTTTTAAAATCATGTATTTGCTACAAAGTATTGTACTTGTCTCAATGGGAATGGTGTAAAAAACTGAAAAGGCCTTATGTGATCTGTATCATAGTTAATAAATCAATCTTGTAAAAAACCAAACCTGAGAGAAGTGAAGGGGGGCCTCCTCCTTACAGGGCCAGTGCAGCGCACACCTGGGTCTCCCCGGGCGCCTAAGCCAAGGATGGGAAGCAGGAGGCTCCCGCAGGGGGGCCTTTGCCAGCACGAGCTTCCGCTCCCAGCTCTCACCTGCTTTCCTCTCCAGCGCAGCTTCCCAGAAGGCCGCGTCATTCCTGTGGTCTCTCAGCATCACCTAAAGTGGCCCCCACGAACCCCCATGGCCACAGGAGCTGCAGGCAGGCATGGGCAGGGGATGCCAGAGGTGCCGCTCCTGCCCTTCCTTCCCACTCCCCTCCTGCCTGAGGCCATGCGGGAGGTACTGGGAGTCAGATGCCTGGATTCACTTCCTGGCTGGGGGTGGAAGTGCCTGGGGAGTTCCAGGGGCAGGATCATGAGCAGGCTTGTGTCCAGGAGGTGGCCGACTTCAGATCCTTCTCAAGGGAGGGGTCAGGGCTGAAGTTCTGAGAGGGGAGAGCCAAAGGTCACACTCACTCCCTGGTGCTGGCCCTGGGGTCAGAGACACAGGCTCTACGCCAGAGTTAGCCACTGTCACCACCGTCATCCAGGACAGCACCTCCAGGGACGGAGATGGGCGGCTTCCTAAAGAAGCCTTGCCACCAAAAACACCTCCTCTCCACTCACCCCCTAAAAAGCTCTTGTTAGGATTATCTCCCTCTTTCCAGTCTCCCAGGCTCGTTTGCTCTATCCTTGGCTCCCTCCTTACCCCTTACTGCTTCTAAGATCCCAAATGTCACTTGAGTGTGACTCTGCTCTTCCCTCTGCCTCCATTCTAGCCTAGACCCGAATTCAAGCTCACTAGAC